ATGAATGTGTAAGCACTTCATCGAATGTTCTGGCAGGCTGGGGTAAAGGTAGCTGCATGGGTAACAAACTGGAAAACCTGGGAAGCTACTATATCAAAGTAACTGAATGATACAGAAGCAATGCATTTACAAGTTTTCCTTTTATTTTCACCAAAAAAGGGTGTTATTAGTGTAAGCTGTTTGTGTTCTAAACATTTATGTTATCCCTTTCACTGCTGTCCAATAATCGTTGCAAAGGTCATGTGTGAATCTGATTTTCAGTACTATTTTTACATTTATCCAAACCCAGAGAATGTACAACACCAACAGTCAAACCTGAGGTAAACTAGAAACTTGGGTGGTTCTGACATCTCAATGTAGGTTCATCCTTGGTAAAAAAAAAAAAAAGAAAAATTACCATTCTGATGAGTGATATTAACCCTTTGCACTCCGCTGTCCCCTCTCAGGGGACATCAGAATTCTAGCATATCACTCGGATGTCCCCTCTCAGGGGACATTGCAGTTTATTAGTGATTACGGGGAACTGAGTTATTTCAACGCAACTTTTTGAGACATGCATGTTTCCCTGAAGTTTTATCTTGAAATGGCACAAGAAATTAAATCAAAATATCGTAAAATTACTAAGATATATACAAGAAATGTCAGCGGGTTTTGTGTCGGATTAAACAATAAACTACATATTCCCGATGTGGGACAAAGAAAACGGGACTGCATTGCGTGTTCTAACAGGAAAACACCTGGTGGCAGGCGTCAAACCACTTATTACTGTCAAACATGCACTAATCAGCCTGCAATGCATATTGGGGAGTGTTACAAAACTTATCATACTGTACAAAATTATAAACAATAAAATATTGTTTTTTTTGCAAATATACATTCCTCGATGTCACCCAATTCATATAAGTCCAATATCATTATAATACGTTACTTGGTTCCAAAATTATACTAAATAATATGAGGGTCTGTAAATGCACGTTTCCGCCGCAAAGTAGCGTCGAGTAGCTGGTAGCCAATGTCCAGAATGGTTCGGAGTGCAAAGGGTTAATAAAGGAGGCGGCTCTAGATGTGTGGGAAATCTTTGTACCTTCCTCTCGATTTTATTGTAAACCTAAAACTGCTCTAAAAAATTAAGTTAAAAAAAAAAGAGGTGAGTGGCTTCTTCACTCATCTCTTCATTATAGTCTCATTCTTTATTCATATTATTCATTAAGAATAATCAAGGTAACTAAAATTTATTGAGTGCTTACTATTTATGTGTCAGATACTATTTACCTGCTTTATATATATTAACTCATTTAACCCTCAGACACAGGTGCTATTATTATTACCATTTTACACATTAGGAAACTAAATCACAGAAAAACTAAATCACAGAAAGGACATACAGCTAGAAAGTAACAGCGCTAAGACTTGAACCTATGTAGTCCAGCTCATCACCATTATATTATACTGCTTCTAGTTATTCATTCTTTCAATCATCCATTAATTCATCTTTTTTTAAAGTTTTATTCCTTGTTCCCTCCTAACTTTTATTTTATTTTTGTTAATCTTCACCTGAGGATATTTTTCCATTGACTTTTAGAGGGAGGGAGGGAGGGAGGGAGGGAGGGAGGGAGGGAGGGGGAGAGATAGTCAGTGGGGGAGGAAGGCAGAGGGAAAGGGAGGAAGAGAAAGATACAGAAACATAAATGTGAGAGAAACACATCGATTGGTTGCCTCCTGCAAACACCCCAACCAGGGCCAGGGATCAAACCTGCAACCTAGGCATGTGCCCTTGACTGAAATCAAACCCAAGACTCTTAGGTGCATTGCGCCACCGGCCAGGGCAATTCATCTTTTTTTTTTTTTTTTTTGAGCATTTGGAATATGCCAAAACTCTAATGGAAACATTTTCAACAAGGAAGATCTCAAAACATTTACTTTCTCAGGCAGTTATTGAAGGAAATACTGCATCAAAGCCAGGAAATGAATAAGGGAGGGAGATACTCCATCAAAACAGGAAAATAAACAGTAAGAGATGAGGACCTAGGATCAGAAAACAGAAGAATCCAGAAGAAAGGGGAAGAGAATTCCCAGGACAGGATGACATCTATGCAACAGGTCTGGAGAGTAGCCAGTCTGCATTATAGATGAAGAAGGAAAGAGGTTTTCAGAAGGAACATTGCTAAAAAATATATGGGATTCAATACCTAATGTGTTTGTACAGAGAAGACCTCTGTTGGGCAATCTGAGGAAAAAATTAATGGCAGAAACATAGAAAATATAAAAACAAAGAAAAGAGGCAATTATTAACCTTGAGTAAAACAAAATGTTGTCCCCGGTATGCAGACTGTATTTTTCATAACTATATAATTATTCATTCTCTTCCTACCCTCGCCTTTCTTCTCTATAATCAAAGCAGACTTCCTACCATTACTGCCCTGGGACTTGCCCTTGTAACTTGTTTTGGCCAAAGGACTCTGAGTAGATGTGACACATGCCTCATCCAAGCAAAATCTTTAAATGTATTTGTGGATCTGGTCTTTCTGCCTTTAGTTTCTGCCCCTATCTACTGAGATTGGATCTCAGAATGAGAAAATACACAAAATCAAGATGAACTGATCCCAAACAAGGCTAGCAGAACCCAGCAGAGCCTCAAGTGACCCCAAAACCCTTTTGAAATATGAGAGAGAAAAAAAAAGAAATGTTTTTGTTAGCCAATGAAATTTGGGGTTGTTTTTGCTACAGCAAAAGCTAACACATATAGTACAATCCATAGCTCAACAATGGACAATATTTTATGTAGTCATAATATAACTAATTATATTACACTAGAGGGCCTGGTGCACAAAAATTTCGTACACTCCGGGAGGTCCCTCAGCCTGACCTGCACCCTCTTGCAGTCTGAGACCCCTCGGGGGATGTCCACCTGCCGGCTTAGGCCCGCTCCCAGGGGGACCGGGCCTAAGCTGGCAGTCATCGACATTCCTCTGGCAGCCTGGGAGCCCCTGGCAGTGGGGAGCGGGCCTAAGCCACAGTCAGACATCCTTAGCACTGCCGAGGAGACGGGAGAGGCTACCACCACTACTGCTGTGCTTGCAGCCATCAGCCCGGCTTATGGCTGAGCAGAGTTCCCCTGTGGGAGCACACTGATGACCAGGGGCCAGCTCCTGTGTTGAGCAGTGCGTGTCATAGTGACCAGTCGTTCCTGGGTCGTTCCGCTGTTAGGGTCAATTTGCATATTACCCCTTTATTATATAGGATTATATAGGTAAACTGCAAAAGAAACAACTAAAAGAATGGAAAATTTTTGCCTCAAGGGAGCTAGAATCAAATGTGAGAAGGATGCAGGTAAGGGAGTACTTTTTTGTTTTAAGACATAATTTGATATTCTTTGAACTATTCACATGTATTAATTTTATAAAAAATCTTAACTCAGGAGCACAAAAATAAGACAATAAAATCAAGGGAAATAATCATGCCTGATTCCCTAAGAAAAAGTATTCTGATCCTGAAAGGCAAAAACCCTTAGCTGGAATCATGACCTAGTTTTATTATTTCACAATCTGGCATCTACTTTTCTCTAGCTACATTTTTCTTGATGGTTTGTTTCAATACTTAGGAGAAAACAAGCAGTATTACTGGTTCCCCTTTACTATAGAATTACAGCCTTACATTTTCAGTTCTAGATGTCATTGACAATATGTTACAGGAAAGATGTTGCCTAAAGTGAGATAATACCGAGTGGGACAAAAGTAGGTTTACAGTTGTTCATATGGAAAATAATAATTAATAAAGAATAAACTGTTTTGCATAATCACAAAGGGCTATCCTATACAGAGAGCTCTCAATTAATACATAAGTTGATCATTTATCTACTCTACACATCATCTATGATCACTGCATGCCCTTTTCCTAACAATTGCCACCTGCTGGTCATTTCAATCAGCTTTCACTGTTTTACCAAAGAATGAGAAAAATAATTAAAAGTGAATTAAAGTTTGCATCTTTTTTAAAAACTAAAATTCAGGGACAATTTAAGCTCAATAAATAGTATTATTCACAAACAAATAAACTTAAGAAATAATATATTTTACAAAATATATTTAAATAGTGGGCCCACATTTAAATGATTGGATTTACCAAAATTCTGAGTTTTCTAGAAATATACCATTTAAGATATAATGATAGAGAACACTAAAGCTATTTATAATATTTCTTTATATATATATATTTTTTATTGATTTTAGAAAGGAGCAAGAGGGAGAGACAGACAGAAACATCAATGAGAGTCATTGATTGGCCGCCTCCTAAACACCCCACACCAGGGATCGAGCACGCAATCTGCATGTGCCCCGACTGAGAATTGAACCCTGACCTCTATGTTCATAGGTTGACGCTCAACCACTGAGCCACGCCAGCTGGGCTAAATATTTTTATACTAGAGGCCTGATGCATGAAATTCATACAAGAGTAGGCCTTCCTTCCCCCGGCTGCTGGCACCGGCTTCCCTCTGGCACCCAGGACTGGCGGGGGCTTCCCTCCAGCTGCCAGCAGGCACCCCGGACCCAAGCTTTCCTCCAGCTGCCGGCAGGCACCCAGGACCCAGGCTTTCCTCCAGCTGCCAGCAGGCACCCAGGACCCAGGGCTTCCCTCGCAGCCCCAACTTCATCCAGAAGGTCGTCCAGAAGGATGTCCGGCTGAATTAGCACATTATGCTTTTATTATTATAGATTTCCTATAGATCTTACTTATGTTAACTGTCTCTCCCTTTATCATAAACAAATATGAATTATTTGAGTGCAAGTTTCACATAGTAGCTTCTGTACCATGACAGAAATATGATGGCTACATACACAGGAAGTATCTTCACTGGCTGACACCATCTCATTTAGATATTCTGACATTCTCTTAACCATACTGTTCTTTGAATTGTAGTTCACAGGCCTGCCATTTATAAAAAAGCACTGGGGCAGAACAAGAAAGCATAAGAATATAATTACAGGGCATGTTTTTCATACCTCTTCATCTTTCATATTCACATCCACATTTTTTGATTTGATGACTTTGGATATATGGTCAATGTTGTTTTCTCTGCAGTAATCAAATATGTTTTTGTCTTCTTCCCTAATGAGAGTAAAAATAAAAAGTCACATATTTTTAATACAACCTGATTGCTGCTGACAAACATTAATAAAATCTGTTTTGATAAAGGATTTTACATGAACAATAATGGATTTTCAATAAGACATAATACATCCAACCTCTGAAAAAGACGAAAGTTCTTATCTATCTACACTAATAAAAGATAAACATGCAAATTGACCGTACCTTTTGCTATGCCTTAAGCCATGCCCACCAGCCAATCAGAGCAACTATATGCAAATTAACCCAACCAAGATGGCAGCTGACAGCCACGGAGCTGGAGCAAGCAGGAGGCTTGGTTGCCCCAATGATGGAGGAAGCCAAGCTTCCCGCTTGCCACAGCGGGCTCTGAGCTCCACTCAAAGCAACCAAGTTTCAATTATAGAAGGTAAATAAACCCCAGATACCTGCTTTCAGCCCGCTGTGGCCATGGAGCTGAAGCGAGCAGGAGGCTTCCCTCCCGCCCGCCCTGGCCCGCTCTGAGCTCCTCTCAAGGCTACAAAGTTTCAATTAGAGAAGGTAAATAAATCCCAGAATAAAAAGAAAAAAAAAGAAAAAAAGGAGAGGCTGGGAGCTTCCGTTCGCCGGGGGGCTTGGCCAGCCTGAAAACGGCCCTCAGCCCCTCACCCAGACTGGCCAGGCACCCCAGAAGGACCCCCAGCCTAAAGGGGGCCAGCCTGAAAACAGCCATCTGCCCCTCACCCAGGCTGGCCAAACTTCCGTGGGGTGAGGGTCCCCACTGGGGGGGGGAGGGCCTTGACCAGCCTGCAAACAGCCATCAGCCCCTCACCCAGGCTGGACAGGCACCCCAGTGGGAACCCCCACCCTGAAGGGGGTGTGACCAGCCTGCAAACAGCCCCTCACCCAGGCTGGCCAGGCACCCCAGCGGGACACCCACCCTGATCTTGGACATCCTTCAGGGCAAACCAGCTGGCCCCCACCCATGCACCAGGCCTCTATCCTATATAATAAAAGGGTAATATGCAAACTGACCCTAACAGCAGAACGACTGGGAATGACTGGTCACTATGACACACACTGACCACCAAGGGGCAGACGCTCATGCAGGAGCTGGCCCCTGGTGGTCTGTGCGCTCCCACAGGGGGAGCTCTGCTCAGCCACAAGCCAGGCTGACAGCTGCCAGTACAGAGGTGGTGATGGGAGCCTCTCCAGCTTCCTCAGCAGCGCTAAGGATATCCAACTGCAGCTTAGGCCTGCTCCCCGCTGGCAAGTGGACATCCCCCGAGGGCTCCCGGGCTGCCAGAGGGATGTCTGACTGCCAGCTTGGGCCCAATCCCCCCAGGGAGCGGGCCTAAGCCAGCAGGTGGACATCCTCCGAGGGGTCCCAGACTGCAAGAGGGCATAGGTCGGGCTGAGGGACACCCCCCGAGTGCACAAATTTTTGTGCACTGGGCCTCTAGTATATACATAAAACCCTAAGCAACCGGTCAACCGTTCGACAGGTCACTATGACGTGCACTGACCACCAAGGGGCAGACGCTCAACGCAGGAGCTGCCCCCTCGTGGTCAGTGCACTCCCACAGTGGAAATGATGCTCAGCGAGCTTACCAAGTGCCAGTAGCAGCAGGTGCAGCGGGGCCTGGATGAGTGGGAGCAGCGCAGCGCCCTGCCTGGGCTTTGGGCTCCTCCCTGGTCGCCTGCCACTTCATGCACTACTACATCCCCTGAGGGGCCCCAGATTGCAAGAGGGCACAGGCCAGGCTGAGTGACCCCACCGGTGCATGAATCCATGCACCAGGCCTCTAGTCAATTGTAAGGAAATGCTTCACTGCTTTAACAAGTCACACCAGCACAATAACATAACAACTTCAGTAGATTATCTCAGTGCTCTTTTCCTCCCCCAGTTACTTTCACACACTGACAGGCACATACTTCCTTTGTCTCAGAATTTTCCATTGTAGCACTGAGATAAGAAGCACTGTAATGTCTATACAGAGGCATCAAAAGATCAGAATACAGCTTACTCTTGTCTTAAAGGACAATAGAATGACAAGTTGATTGTTACTCAAATTTTATACACACACACACACACACACAAGTAATTTTCTTAAGGGAAAGATAATTAGAGCATTACAAAATTCAGAAATCCTACATGAGATAATAGAAACAAAGACTGGGAACAAAATCTGAGAAGCATACTAGGTACCCAACACCATTCCAAGTACATGTACTTAGAATTAATGTACACTTATCCAACAACTTCAGAATTCAGAAAGAACAAGGAGAGATTACATGATCCTCCAAATGGCATCGAATTTACCAAACGTAGAACAAGAGAGCTAGAATTGATTTTATATATAGTACATTTTTCTACTACATCTAGCTACATCTCGACTAGTCAACTGTAATCTATTCTACACACAAAAGCAGTTCCTAACATGAGGTCTTTGAGTTCTCTAAAATAGGATACAGAACTATCTATGTAAATGCATGTGCATTTTTCTGAATGTGTGTGTTGTGTGTTTCTGTGTGTGTGTGGGGGGTGTTGAGGGGAAGGTAGCTTCAATGAGATTCTCAAAAGGATAAATCCTTTGGAATATTAAAATGAAACTGTTTCCTATGTGGACTGCATTTTCTGGTCAGGCTTAAAAAATGCAATTTGAGCTCTAAAAACTAGTGTTTTATAATCTCAAGACCACGCTTCCATTCATCAGAAATTAAGGCACCTAGCCATAGGAGTCCTCCTATTTTAAAAGCCAATTTAAATACTTTATACCCTATAAAAAATATTTTCAGTCAGAGGTAATTACATTAAAATACACTACTTTGGCCTTATTCATCTAAGTTTTCCTTATGCATTTGATGTATTCAGTTGAGCACTTACTACATGCAAGGCACTGGGCAAGATTCTGTTGGTAATAGGTAACAAGGATAAGCAAAAAGCTTTGCATTCAATATATGCACAGTAGAGTTGGGATGATATTATCGATACACCAGTAACATAGGGTATAACTGGATCTTTAGAAAGGTCTAAAAAAGTACAGAGGAGAAACAGTCTGCCTCAAGCTGGAGAAAATGAGGTACATGTGCAGGAAGAAATCATGTTTAAAAGCAAAACAGAGGTGAGCAAAAGTAGGTTTATAGTTGCTCATATGGAAAATAACACAATAATTAATAAATAATGCAAGAATACACTTGTGTTTCACATATTCACAACTGCAAACCTACTTTTATGGTCTCTTGAAAATGTCCATTTTGTAGAAGAGAAAAATGCTTTTCTAGATTACCTACTCTGAAAGAAATTAGAGAAGTCTGAGGCTAAAACCCCAGAAAGGAGAAGTCTGATTTTAAAAATTAAGGTTGCAAATAGTACCACTTTAGCTATATTTAGCTACAACCAAAAAACACAGTTTCTATGAAAACATGTATTCAGAATACCAACTTGGTAATAATAGGGACCTATTTTCCTCCAGTACAGTAACAGAGACCCCTCTAATTCAAGAGGAAGCAACTTCAACTGTGAGAGAAAGAGCTGTGTCATTTTAAGTCATCATATAAAATATACTACTTACCAATTGTTTTGAATTTGAAAATAATGGGGAGTTGATGGTGGGGCACAGAAAGGAAAGTAAGGAGGACCCTTGGGATGTCAGTTACTCATACCCAATAATATAGAAGACCTTCTGCGTGGTCTCTTTTCCTGAATCTCAAATGTGCATGTACACCTATGTCTTAAACAGTGTACAAGAGTAAATATAGTACAAACATTCAAATTTTTATTTTGCTTAATATATTGTCAATGTTCCTTATGTGCATCAAATATTCTGATTTGGTATAAGAGTTTTTGGAGGGCAGAGGCAGTTTTTCATCTGAATACCTGCTTATTGTCTGTACTTTATCATTGCTAAATATGTCAGGCACACAGAAGTATTTAGAAAATACTTCAGGGTAGAGTATACAATGTAAATTAAATATCAAGAAGAAATTCAATAAAATCACCAACAATATGATACAAAGTTGAATGACTAATATTAAAAAAATTAAGTGATAATGCTTGGGCTTAGTTGTTGAGTAGTTCTCTATCCTCACTCCAAGTCTGACTTATCTTACTTGCCAGCAACCAAGCTGTCAATACAATGTCACCACCTAGTGGCCAAAATGGAGAAACATCGGGAGCACTATCTTTCCATATCTCCTTTCTTGCCCCTAACAAGATTATGTACAATATACAAATCAAATTCTCTCTTTCCCCTCTACATTTCCCTGTCAATACAGTCTCCCAGAGGCAAACTCCCCTTCTGGATCCATACTTAAAGGAAACATGTGCAAGTGATTCCAACCATTACCAAATACAGGAGAGCCTTAATACACGTTAGTGCCCTTTTACATGTTCTCAACTTATCTTCCTTTCTCTTATTCTTACCCAGTTATCGTTCTCCCTCTTTCCTCAATATGAGGTAAAATTATCATATCTGTTCTTTATGGATGAGTATGAGTTATGTTTGTGACTACTTTCAAGGATGTAGTCCCTCCCCACATTATTCCTAGCACAAGACAGAATGTCTCTCTTTAGATTACTCTCAATTTCCCGAAAATGACAGAAAATATATTTGTATATTTGAAGGAAAAAAATCACTGGCTCTCTTTGAAAAATAAAGGCACACCCTTATGAGAAAGAGGGATGGTGTTTAAGTATGGTCATCTTTCATCTACCACAGGAAGACTAGAACCATGCCCATTCCTAGATATGCTATGTACCACTTTCTACAAAGACTGCATTTCCCTATCAAAAGAATATTTCAAATACTGTAGTCAAGTTTCATGGCAGGCAACCCACAGGTTGAGAACCGCTGTTCTAGGAAGTAAACCCAAAAGACTGTACTAAGAATTAGCAAACTACTATTAATTAAACTTGTTACTCTTTTGCATGAAAATACTGTTTAACATACTAGGAATGGTTTGTACTGCCTCAGGATATAAAGTCTTCCATGGTACCAAATAAAGGGACAATTTGGGTAAAA